TATTCCATGGTGTGTGTGTGTGTGTGTGTGTGTGTGTGTGTACGCGTGCGTGTGTGTGCATGTATAAAATCCACAGGGATCAAAATAGCTCAGAAATCCCACCGATTGGACAGGACAGACCCTGTCAGGACCCTACATCACCTTCTTGCTTCCCTGGCATCCCTTCAGGGCAGAGGGCATGGCCACCACCAGTTTGGGGATAACTTCCCTGCCAGCTCCAGTTAGAAAAATCCAGGGAAGATCTCTGATTGGCGTTTCCTGGGTCATGTGCCATCTCTGGCCCAATCACTGTGGTCAGGGAAATGAGTGTCTCTCAATGGCCCTGCCTAGGTTAGAGGGCTCTCCCGCATCACCAGGAGCAGGAGGCTTTGATGGAGTAGGAGAGCCGCTCCCAGAGGCAAAATCAGTTATCAACAGAAGGATGGCAAGAGGGGTGCTGGGCTGATATCTGTATTACCTCACTGCCAATCCCGTTTAGGGATTAGGCATTGCAGATTCATGTTTCAAGTTCAGATACATTATTGAGGGAAATTTGAGGGATTCCATCACCTGCATTAAAACATCATCACAGGCTAATTTATCAAAGTACTGAGCCATAACACGAAGGCTTAAAGGGCTAGAACCCAGGACAGGACATGTAGTGGTTTGCTCGGGCTACCATAACAAAGCACCACAGACCAGGCGGCTTAAACAACAGATACTTACTTTCCCACAGTTCTGGGGCTGTTGAAGGTGCCAGCAGAGTTTATTTTTTCTGAGGTCTGTCTCCTTGGCTTGCAGACAGCTGCCTTCTCATCATGTCCTCACGTGGTCTTTATTCTGCGTACGTACACACCTCCGATGTCTCTCTGTGTCCTGATCTCCACTTTTTATAACACAGCAGTCTCTGATTGAATTAGGGCCCACCCTAATGACCTTCTTTTAACTTAATTACCTCTTTGAAGACCTTATCTCCAAACATAGTCACATTCTGAAGTATTGGAGGTCAGAGTTTCAACATAGGAATTTGGGGGATACAATTTAATCTGTAAGAGGATGTTAGAAGATACAGAGCAGGCCATGGACTGTGCAGTTTTTAATTTATATATATTATATATATGTATATAGTTATATATGTAGTTATATATAAACCTCATGGTAACCACAAACCAGAAACCTATAATAGATACACACACACAAAGAGAAAGGAATTCAAACATAATACTAAGGATAGTCATCAAATCACATGGGAAGAGAGCAAAAGAAGAAGAAAGAACAAAAAAGAACAGAAACAACCCAAATATAGTTTTTAAAATGGCAATAAGTATACGCCTGTCAACAATTACTTTACGTAAATGGACTCAATTTTTCAATCAAAAGACAGAGAGTGGCTGAATGGATACAAAACAAGACCCATATACTGCCTGTAACAGACTCACTTTAGACCTAAAGACACACAGATTGACAACGAGGAATGGAAAAAGATATTCATTATTTACAGTAGCCAAGATATGGACACAACCTAAGTGCCCATCAATAGAATGGATAAAGAAGATGTGATACAAACACACACACACACACACACAGAGGAATGTTACTCAGCCATAAAAAAGAATGAAATCTTGCCATTTGCAACAACATGGATGGACCTAGAGGGTATTGTGCTGAGTGAATTGAGTCAGTCAGGAAAAGGCAAATACTATATGATTTCACTTATGTGTGGAATCTAAAAACCAAAACAAATGAATAAACATAACTAAGCAGAAACAGAATCATAGATACAGAAAACAAACAGGTGGTTGCCTGAGGGGAGGGGGGGAGGAAGAGAGAAATAGTTGAGAGACATTAAGAGGTACAAACCTTGCAATTACAAAATAAATGAGTCATGGGTATGAAATGTACAGTGTGAGGAATATAGTCAATAATTACATAATGTCTTTGTATGGTGACAGATGGTAACTAGACATTGTGGTGATCATTTCAAAAAGTATAGAAATATCAAATCACTATGTTGTGTGCCAGGAACTAACATAATTTTGTCAGTCACTTAGTCTTCAAAAACAAACAAACAAACCCATGGAAAAAGAGATCAGATTTGTGGTTACCAAAGGAAGAGTGTTGGGGGTGGGGGGAAGAATTGGAAGTAGGTAGTAAAAAGTACATTCAGTTATAAGATAAGTAAGTACTAGGTACTGTACAACATGATAAATATAATGAACACTGCTGTATGTTACATATGAAAGCCATTAAGAGAGTAAATCCTGACAGTCTCATCACAAAAAAAATTTTTTTTCTATACTGTGGCTGATATATGGGTTGATAACCTGAGTATGTCACTGGCTGGAGTGGGTGATCATCTGACTGAGGGGAAATCCCTTCCTAATCGAATTTCTGGGATATCAAGAGCCATATTTAGAACCCCGGGGCTTTCTAGCCAGAGCACTGTGGATGATACACAGGGCTTCCTTGAGTTTGGATGTTTAAATGGGCCTAACCTGGAGCCGTGAGGTCTGTCCAGGAGACTTTGTGATCTCATTGGTCTTAGCTTGTGGCTCCCCCACAGGCAAAGGAGCCGGACAGAGAGGGATAGCTCTGGGCTACGTGGTCTCCTCCTGGGCTCCTGTCTTCATTATTCATACCCATTAGGATTGCGTTAGGTTGCACATAACAGAAACTAACAGCACTGGCTGTCTCGGGTGTGAGTTTCATGGTAGAAACCACAGGCCAAAGAGAAGGGGGACAGGCAGATGACAGGCGAAAAGTTGATGTAGGTGAAGATGATTTACTCCTGCTTTCACGTGCTTTTCACATCTCTGGCAGCTCAGTTTAAAATCAGACCCCTTCACTTGGCTGTATTTTATTTTCCTTCTAGGTGCTTATCAGCACCTGACAGGAAATGCTGTATTTATCACTTACTTATCTGCTTACTGCTGTTTCCCCAGTTTCTAGAACAGTGCCTGGAGTATCACAGGTGCTTAATAAATACTTGTTAAATAAATGAATACATTATTTCATTTGAAACTTCTTAACAACTTAATGTGGTAAGCAGGAGGGAGCATGCTGTTACTTATTTCACAGATGTGGAAACTTAGGCCCAGAAGGCTGACTTCACTAAAGCCACCAGGAACTGAGGGAGCCTTAATCCTTTTGATTCATAGTCAGGGGCTGGGTGTGTAAAGTGAGGGTAGAGAGGCTTTTGACACACCCCTGGCCCATATCCCAGAAAGGCCTCATCTGGGCCTCTGCTCAGAAAGTTGATAAACTACTCAGGAGTAAAGTGATAAGAAAAGGAAATAAGTTATTCCCAACAAAGAGACTGGGAAGATAGAAACTTCAGAAACCGTTGTCCTGTGGGTTGGGAGAGTAAGGGTGATAATCACTGAACAGGCAGCTTTTTGGTGCCCTCAGTTTCACCCCCACTCCAGCTACTAACTCTGCCCCAAAAGATAGTGAGCTCCCCATCACTGGAGGTGTTCAAGCAGGGGCTGGATGTCTACTTACAGAGCATGCCTGAGTTGGGAAGTTTTTCTCACATCTTAGTAGGAGGAGCAGGCATTCTCCATCACAGCACAGACGCTGTCAGCGTAGTGGTCCCATCACCAACACAAGAGGCTTTGCGCCACCTGGTGGGTATGGTTTTAAACTGCAGACCCTTCCAAGGATAGAAGCCTGCAGCTGTGTCCCCAGAATCCTAGGCAATGAAGCTAGGATAGAGTTTCTGACAGTTTCATGAGCACCACAGAGTTTGTGAGAACTCAGAGGCACCCCTGCACTCATCAGAGAAGTCACCATTACAGGGAAGACTTATTAACAGGACTCAGGCTGAGGCATGTCTCTGGGATTGGAGGGAACACATCCTTCCCAAACTTTATTCTAGATTCTTGGGATAATAACCTGGGAAACTACCTGAGGGAGGGAAGGAGGAGGTTCATTTGTTCACTCTTATTTGTATTTGGGAGTAACATTGAATTGCCTTTGCCCAGGTGTAAAATTTCCCAATTGAGTTCAAATCTGCATAAGTCTCGATGAAACCACCAAACAAACAACACCCCCCCAAAAAACCTCTATGTTTTTGCTCCATGGGTATCAAATTCAGAAAGGTTTTGTCTATCAAAGTGCATATTTTCATTATATTTGTTGTACTATTATTGTCATACTGTATCATTTATTATCATCAAAGACCTTTGTAACTGCTGGTAGATGTCATAATGAGCTTCATGTGTTAGCCTTACCACACAGAGTACATTTAATTTGAGCAAAACAAAGGCATTTGAGAGTTCAGTGGGCCAGCGCAGCCCCATCTGAAGTGAGCGTTGGATTCTGCTCGGCCCTCCTACAACCCTGAAATGGGCCCCGGCTCCCACCCAAGACTCTGCTCTGGACAGTGAATCCCAGGGTTCAGCTGTCCCTGAGGGGAACGTGCCCCTGTTCTGGGCCAGCTGCTCCTCTCACCGTTTCTCCTTCTGGTTTCACTTCATTTCTGAGAAAAGAGCACAGTTTTAATCAGTGGTCCATCCTAAGCCTAGATCTGGGCATCAGAGGCCAGCCAGGCTCCTGTGACACGTTACAGGGAAGCCCCCAGCACAGGGCAGGGAACCGCGCACTTCTCAGTAAAGTCTGTTGGGTGAACAATTGGAGGCTCCCTGTGGACTGGCTTCAAACAATGGGGTTGCTTTCCTCACGGCATCAGTTGCCTCATGAAGTAGGTAATGTGTAGGTGGTGCTGTTGAGAGTTTCTCCCTGCCATTCCTCGTGGGTCAGACACAGGATGACCCCTCCCTCTCCCTAAAGGCTCCCTCCTCACCTTCTCAGGGTCTCAGCCCCAAGTCTGGTCGGCTTCCCTGTGTGAGTGAGCCAGGCTGACCCAAGCACGAACCTCAGGGGACCCCTTTTTCCTCCCTCAGGGATGGGCCTCTGCAGTCAGCCTTGCTTCTGTTTCCCCTGCACCTCGAGTTCTCCCTGACCTCTCATGATGAGAAGGCCCTCCACGCTGCTGTACCTCCAGACCTCACTCCTACAAAAGGGAAGGAGAAAAACAGCAGAAGCCTGTGTGATCCTTGTTAGGGACACCCTCCCTGGCCCTTCCCAAGCAGAATTCACCAGAGCCACTTTTTTCCCCACATCCACCTTGCATTCACCTCTCCCTGGGCACTGTGACAGCGTCTGCTCAGCTACTTCTGCTTTCCCTGCTGATGTGTGAGCTTCCCAAGGGCAGGGCCTAGCTCTGCTTTGTATGCCTCCCCCACCCTTCCCCATATGAGCAATTATCTTATAAGGGTTAGGGAATTTTAAAAATTAGGATCATGATTAAAATACTTTTTAAACATGCACATTCTGATTTCAGGACAACCCGCTTTAAACTGGCCATCCGAACCTTGGGGCTGTCCCAGGAGCCACTTAGTTCAAAGGTCGTACTGAGTGGCCAAGCCAGCACGGAGGAGGGGACTGAGGGGACCTGACACCAGTATTGGACAGGCTCCTTCTGAGCCTCGACCACCTTCACATTCACCATTAGATGCTGGATGGCTTGGAGGCATCAGGATCTTGCTCTGTAAGTTTCTGTGTTTTCTGTGTGTCTCTACAAAACTTTTAAGAGAACACTGGGGTAGAAAATGTCAATTAACATCATAGGGAGGAACCAGAGGAAGAAGCCAAGGAAGGCTGTCACAAATAGGGTCCTGCATGAGAAAGACACTGGGTCACCAGCATCAGCCCAGGCTTCCTGCAGTAAGAGCTCGAGACGTGGCAGGGCCACCAGGATTAAAGAAAGGGCTAAATGTTACAACCTTAAACTTATGCAGTGTTATATGTCAATCATATCTCAGTAAAGCAGGGGGAGGTGGGGGAGGGCTATATCTGGAGCTTCCTTTTAAGAGAAAAAGACTTTGTTGGCAAGAATTCATAAAGGAGAAGATGGACATAATGGAGCCCACGGGTTAATGCTGTAAATGGCTTGACCAGGAGACAGTGACTTGCATCATGAACTTGTTAATATACTCACTTTATTCCCCATAAACTCTTTACTGTTGACATTAATGTAATCTGGCAAAAAAAGGACATGGCTGGCTACTTTTCAAACTGTGGGACTCTGTTTCCTGCTTCTTAAAATTATTTGTGAGGAAGTCTATTTTGACAAATGTTGTTTTCAGTGACCCAACACTTTACAGGAATCTAATTATGTAAAAAGTGGGTATAAACCCAGAGCCTCCCCTGATGCCAGGTACATAGCAGGTAGTCAATTAATGCTCATGGAAGGAATTGCTGAATAAATCCGTTTATTCCTGGTACCCAGGTGTTCATCCCAGACCAGGGCCTAATGTGCCTGGAGAAATGAGATATAGCTTAGCCCAGAGCTGAGTGGAGAGTCCAAGGGTCTGGGATCTGAGGTAGTGGACCCTATCCAAGCCCACAGCCCACTCCTGGCCCCAGCAGTCCCAGTGCTGGATGAGATTTAACTCCCCCTGCCCCCTCGATAAAGACATAATCCTTGGGATACACAGCTGTTGGCAACCATTAACACACCAGCAGGCAAATGCCAACATCATAACTGGAAGAAGAGACTTATGACTCCATCCTCTCATTTAAACCTTTGTGTCTTAGACCCATGAGTGAGATGCGAGACAAGAATAAATGAGGCAACATTAGGAGGCAGCACGCGGAGCAGGGCTGTATGTCCTTGGGCAAGTCACTCCCCATCTCTGGCCTCAGCTGCCTTATCTATAAGAGGAGAGGCTGGACAAGTTGATTTCAACGGTCCCTCCCAGTCCAGTTATGTAGTTCTGGGCCAGGGATGATGAGGAAAGCTGTGGTTCATCCTGGAGCAAAGTCAAGGAGATGGGATAGTCTCAGGGAAAACTTTAGGGGCCAAGGATTTTCCTGCTGGACCTTTTTGCCAAGGTCCCTGCTTGGCCCTTCTGGTGTGAAATTGTCAAGGGCCCCAGATGGGACTAAGTCAGGACTTCCTTGCTCGTGAGTGGTCACAGCTTTGAGTTTCCAAATCCTAGAATCCTTATCAGGCTCTCTGCAGTGACTCAAGTCCAGCTTGGGCCCAGCTAGATGGGGGGTGGTTTCCTGACATGCTGGAGGCAAGAGGCAGAGGTAATTTCCTCCTTCCAAAAAAGAAGATGTGAATCTAGGTTCGGTTTTCAATGAAGTGAAAGCACTCTCTTCCCTTTCCCCCCCAGTTTCCCGGGGGTCGCAAGGGCAGAGGCTCTGCCCTCATCGGGTCATCCCTGGGCTGGGGAGCTGAAAAGAGAAGCTGAACCTATAGGAAAGGCACTTTCATGCTTTAGAGCAGCTTTGGGTTTGCAGAGTTTTCTTAGCTCCTTACACAGCTGGCATACACCAAGCACTGCACAAATCCTGTCTTCTTGAAGTTTTCTGGGAATCCTGTGAGGTCAGGTCGGGAATCACATCCCCATTTTGCCGATGAGAAACATGAGGCTCCAGAGAGATTGAACAACCTGCCCATGGTCACATGGCAGATGCAGGTATAGGAGCATAGGAAGCTGGTGGGGGTCGGGAGGTCAGGGGGATCTTCACTGAGTCACAGTCACAGAGTAACCCCAGGACTGAAAACTGAGGGCAAGGGTGTTGGGCCAGGTGAAATGAACTGTTCAGTGATGATGATGAAGGCAGAGAGGTAGGACCATGACCTCTGCCTAAGAAGTGCTCAATACATTCAGAGGCACTAAAAGAAAACAGGTCACAGCACTGGATTCTGGGGAAACATCCCAGCTCTGTAAGCCTCTGCCTCCATTTCCCCATCTTTAAGCCTCAGAGGGTTGGTAGGTGAGTTGAATGAAATAAAATATAGGTAGTACCCTTGGCACAAGGCCTGGCACATAGTAGGCACGTAAATGTTAGGTCATTATTATCATTAGTAAGACTGACAAAACAGTCATTTTTTCCATTTCATACATCAGCATATTTTCATGAGCATGGCCCTTTTGCAGATGAAGAAAGTTGAGGTTCAGTGAGGGACCTCTGCTTTCTTCTGTAAATTGAAGGAGTTGGGCTGGATGTTTGCTCAGTGACCAGCTTCCTCTCCTGAGCTGGGCAGGTACTAATGGGGAGGACAGGGAGAGACCTCACGCCCTGTGACCCCCAGCCCAGGGCTGCCCTACCTGAAGAACAGTGCCCCCACAATGTCCTGGATGTGAGGCCTCCTGGTTCTCAGCCCTTCCAGGTCCCTGGGCAGCTTTGAGGTCTGAGACACCAGCTGTGATCCTATGAGTGTAAAACCCTGCTGGGGTTCCCTGCTGCCCTGGGAGGAGAGAGGAGGCCCTGTACAGCTAGCTGCCTTCATGGGAGAATCAGTCTCTGCCCTGTTGATACCTGGTGCCCGAAGTCCACCTGCCCTTCACTGAGAGACTTCCAATATCTCCTCCTTGAAATCCACCCTGTCCTGCTCCTGGCCCTCCAGCTGCTCCCTGCTGCTGCCTTTGTCCTGGATGATCTTCCCAGGTGTCTTCAGAAATCTGGAATTCAGGTCCCAGCAGCAAATCAGACCCTGCCCCAGCCGCAGAGGGCTTTCCACCCCCCCCCCCACCCCAGCCCTACTCCTTTTCTGCACCTTGGCCCTTAGGCCACTCACCTGAACAGGAGTTTCTGCCCAGGTTCCTTCTTAATGATGTTCAGCTTATAGTAGTGGCGCAGGGCACGTGACATCTTCTCGTAGGTCATGTTCACCCGGTTCTGGAAGACAGAGCAGCCCCACATTACCCCCGGTTTCCCATCCTGCTTCTTCTAGTTCTTCGTTTTCACACCTGGAAGGGAGCAGGTTGGACTGGATGGTTTCCTAAGTCACTCAGCCCAAGGTTCTATTAGGACACATGAGAGCTCTCTCATATGTTTGGAAGGAGAAAGGCAGGGGAAGAGCTGGGGGAGAAATAATGGGATGGTTCTGCCACCTACCTGGCTGTGACCCATAGGGGGCAGGAGTGAAATGCATTGTTGCTTTTAAATAGTGAATAGCGAATCGTCACAAGTAGTAGCAAATAAATACGTATTTCGTGGGAGAGACAGCGTGGTGGGGTGGCACAAGGGCCTTGCCACCAGCTGTGTGACTTTGACCAAGTCATTTTTTCCTCTCTGAGGGGGCCAGTGCAGAGTAGGGGCAAAGAGGCTGGGCTTTGGTGTCACTTAAAGCCCCAGCTCCCCCATTTAGCAGCTGTGTGACCCTCGATAAGTTTCTTTACCTCTCTGAATCTGTTGCCCCAGCTGTAAAATGAAGATAAAAACACCCATCTCACAGATTTGTTGTGAGGATTAAACTAGCTAATCCATGAGAGCACTTAGCACGGTGCTCTGCACATAGTCTGTGCTCATTAAATGGAATTGCTACTCCCTGGGCCTCAAGTTTCCCTCCCTCCAGACAAGGTTGCCCCGACTGTAGTCATTTGCATCTTTCCAGCCAGCAGCACTAGGGAGAAGACACAAAATAGAGTGTGGTCCAGAGCTGGATTCAAGTCTCTGTTCTGCCACTTGCTGACTGCAAACTCTGACAAGTTGATAAAGCTCTCTGTGCCTCAGTTTCCCCATCTCATAATATCCTCCTCCTGAGGTGGTTGTGAGGATTAAATGAGTTAATGTGGGTAAAGCCCTCAGAGCAGTGCTTGGCAATAAGATGCTGTGCCATTTTAGGAAATGAATTTATTTATAGACTAGGACACTGGCTTTATATCACTGCTGTAAATCATGAGATTGACAAGGCAGTTGAATTTTATAATCGTAATTCTTACTAAAATAAATACTTAGTTCTTCAAATTTGGAGCAAACCACCTAAAATCCCCTAGCAGGTACCCATGGGCATTCCTCACGTTGGGAATGCTGTCCTCAGTCGTCCCCAGGCCTTTCCAGCCCTGATACCCAATGATCCCACGGGGTGTGAGACCTGGGTTTGTGTCCTAGCTTCCTCCAGGGACCCAGCATCCTCATCTGGCTTAACAGCATGCGATGTATGATTCATGTAAACGCTCTTTGAAAGCCTCAACTGCTAAACAAAGGAGGGATTAAGAAATTAGAGGGCAAGATTACTAAATTCCAGAGACAGTCCCCATCTTCAAGAAGTAACTGCCTGTCCCTTGGGATCTCTCCAAATAAGAGGATCCCAATACTTCTGGGGCTGCTGGTGAAGCCCGCAATCAGTTGAGGCCTGTCCCCTAGTACTGAGAGATCCACTCTGGCCCGTGCCCTGTCCTCTTCTGGTTATGTTGAAACCATCCTGCCAGCTGGCTGAGGTTCACCTTGTGATTTCCCCAGAGTCTGGCGAGCCCATTCGGATCCACAACTCGGAAGATCTTGGCGTTCTTGTCTTCCCACTTGATGTAGGGCTCGTACCTGGTGTCAGAGAGCAGCTGGTACACGTAATCCCACAGCAGCCGGCAGTCTGCAGTAGGGCACAGGGGGTGCAGACAGGGCACTTTCCTGGAGCTATAAGGATACGCATGAGAAAGGCACTCTGGGCTCTTGAAGCTGGGGCCCAGGAGTGTAGCAGGATGGTCAAGATAATGGTACTAACAGAAGCAGTCACATGTGGGGACTCATTACTCACTGTCTCATTCAATAATCCTAACTCCAGGAGGTGGCTACCTTTACCCCCAGGAAGGGGTGAGGAAATGGGCTCAGAGAGGTATGGACATGTCCCAGTCACCAGGCTCCTGAGTGGCAGGCAGAGCAGGGCGTCTAACCCAGCTCTGCAGGCACAAAAGCCAATGCCCTTTGCTTGGGGGCAGGTGGCAGGGGTGCTGGCCAGTGGCTGGTGGCCAGAGCCCTGCCTCCAAGTCCCTCTCTGCCTCTAGCAGAGTCTCCTGGATCTCTGTTAAATCAGGATTGTAGCATTCATCCTATCCTGCCCCCTAGCAGGAGGTTAGGGGAAATCAGATGTGCTATTATGGAGGGCAAGTGGCAGAGGGAGCCTGGAAGCAAGATCTTAAGTCCTATCTGGGCTGTCTGGTTGCCAAGCCACAGTTTCCTCATATGGGGTGATATGAGAATTAAGTAACATAATAGACCAAAAAACCCTTAGCACAGGCAGTACCTCTGCCTGGTACAGAGTAAAGGTTTAAAGAATGGTAAACATTATATTTAAAACATTATATTTAAAATAATTGTGTTTCAGTGATTTCCAGTCATTTCCAACCCAGGAGCTAGGATTCTGCTCCCTCTGTGGTGTCTTGGAATAAATGAAGTGCCTCCCCACCCCCCATGACTAGAAAACACATTTTGGGAAGGCAGGCAGCTTATCTGTCAGTCAGTCTGGCTGCCTGTCTGTTAGTCCTTTAACAGTGAATGTGGAGAATAGTATCACCTGGTTAGATCTCGGGCCCTAGAACCAGATTGCCTGGATTCACACTTCATTTCTGCTACTTACTGCTGTGTGATCATGGGAGGGTCACTTAACCTCTCTGTGCCTCATTTTCCTTATCTGTAAAATGGGGCTAATAATTCCAACCTCAAGGGCTGTTGTGGGATTAAATAAAAGCTTTAGAACCATGCCTGGTACATAGTAAGCACTCAACTATTTAAAAATAAGATTCTTATTAACTAAATAAGGGGTGGGGGGTGTAGCTCAAGTGGTAGAGCACATGCTTAGCGGGTTCGAGGTCCTGGGTTCAATCCCCAGCACCTCCTCCAAAAATAAATAAGTAAACCTAATTACCTCCCCTGGCCAAAAAAATAAACAAA